ATAATCCAACTACAATAATATAAATTTTAATTACATTATTAAAACAATCATTATTAACAAAATCATTTAGTCACGTGCGTTTATTAGACATTAAATTACATCACGTAGCATCTTCCATAATTTATCTCAGTTGGCCTAATGCATATTTATAAGCAGTTCTTGGGTTTAAACCATACAACATTTTTTTCTTTTGTTTTTAAATACGTGTTTCAAAATCAAATCCGTACATTTGCTTTGATAAACTTCTTGAAAGAACAAAACACCATGATTATTTTCCTTTTGTCTGTATTCGTTTTGTCTTTTTAGACAGATAGAGGGATTTTCGGAAAAATATTATATATATTCACACACACACACACACACACATATATATATATATATATATATATATATATATATATATATATATATATATATATACATAATATATATGGAATGCCTGTATGAATGTATACGTTTATGGTCTTTGTCGTCATTCTAACTGCATTCACATATGTATAGGTTTTTCATATATATATATATATATATTATGTGTGTGTTTGTGTGTTTACCCGGATCTGTTCAAAAATGCGTGCTGAAAAATTCTCAATCGACCATAAAATGTTTAAAAAAGAAAATTTGTTTCCCATTCAAAAAAACTTTATGCTATCATATATATATATATATATATATATATATATATATATATATATATATATATATTTTATATTATATTGTATATAGTATAGTATAGTATATTATATTTGCTTAAAAATTTATTGATCACTTTTTAAGAATAGTATTTATTTGTTATTGGAATTTATTCCGTATACATCAATCCTATACTTTTTCTACATATATATATATGCGGCAAATATATATATATATATATATATATATATATATATATATATATATATAAATTTAAAACTAAAAAAAAACCATTTTAAAGTTAAGTATAATATATATATATATATATATATATATATATATATATATATATATATGAAAAAAATTATAAATATATATATATGTGTGTGTGTTAAATATATTTATATATATATTATATTCATTGTACTTATATTGGAAAATTTCAATATCAGAGATAGAGCTAATATATTTCGTTGAATTTTGTGAGTTTGTGACCCTAAATGTATAAAATAGCATATATATATATATATATATATATATATATATATATATATATATATATATATATATATATTTCTCTTTTGGAATACTTTTCACATATGTTCATGTTTGTGTGAGCTTCGATGGGCGAGCAACGCTAAATATATGTCACAAACACCTCAATGGGTATATGGACGTGTATGTATGTTTGCGTAAATATGAGTGGCGTCAAGACGACAGTTTTATTTGCCGCTTCCATAATGACACCATTACACGCAACCCTACATAAATCCCAAATTTAAAAAAAATTATTCAGTTTGTCTGACGATCGCGAAAGCGTGTAACCCAGTGTCACAAATTCACATCAATCCAACCAAATATATATATATACAGTTTAACCCGGATATAAGAGACCCGGATATAAGAGACCCTGATATAAGAGAAACCCGGATATAAAGATTTTTTTATCTGATCCCAAATTGTTCTTATACTTACCTAAACAAAATAGACCAAACCCGGATATAAGAGAAACCCGGATATAAGATATTCTCTGGTCCTGACAACTCTCTTATATCCAGACTCTTACACTGTATATATATATATATATATATATATATATATATATATATATATAGAGAGAGAGAGAGAGAGAGAATTTTATTTTATATAAGAGATTATAAAAGAAACATGTTGAAATCGCTAGACAATAACTTTGGTGTTTCGACACTATGTTGTACCTCTTCAGAGGACGATGAGTAACTGGTAAATGATGTTTAAGAACATTTCAAAAGCAAGGAGTTACCTCTTTTTTCAAAATACAAAGTGAGGTGAGAAAACACAAGGTCAGAATTAAAAAATTGACTTGTTTTGTCTTGAGCAATGAATTAACTGTCAGATCTACTCTAAACAGAAAATTAAGCTTAGAGAGATATATAGGACTTATTTGTTCATGACATATATATATATATATATATATATATATATATATATATATATATATGTGTGTGTGTGTGTGTGTGTGTGTGTAAATATATAGAAAGTTAAGTTCACACTGCCTCCTTCTCATATATGCTTATGGTTGGTACAATTCGGTCACGTGATCGTCGTTTGAGTTTGATCGCGTCAGTTTTCTTTATGCTGTTACAATGTAAACATAGCCGCTCCATTGCAGTTTGCACCAAGTAGGAACAAAGAGCAGTTGTCCGATTTCTCTGGCCGGAAGGTGTGTCAACGGGTGCAATTTATCGCCTAGAAGTGTGTATAAAGGAATCGAGGAGTTTAAAAGTGACCAGACAAGCGTGACGCACGAAAGATCAGGATGTCCGTCAAACTCCACCACTGACGAAAAGATTCAGCAAGCTCAAGAGATAGTAATGGCGAACTGGCAAGTTATCATCGATGAGTTAGTAGCATGTTCTGTGTAGATTCGGATCACTGCTCTTTGTCCCTCTTTGTTGCACACTGATATCGGAGCGGTCATGTTTACACTGTAACAGCAGTAAGAAAACTGGCGCGATCAAGCTCAAACATTGATCACGTGACCACAATACTACCAACTATTGATTTTCTCCACTCCGGTCTTCTTCAGGTGATTGGGTGGTCAAACTGAACCCTTTATTTTGTCGACCAGGGTAGATTGTTCTAGCTTCACATGCTCTTCTGGATGTCTCAGTTATCTCCCTTTGATTCAATTCACCAATATTTTGTTTACCACTGCGACAGTCATGTACTGAGAGATATCGTTTTCATATTGCATTCTTTTTTATGTTTGGACGGCAATGGGGATTTTTTTTTTTTTTTTGGCATAGCATATGTGCCGATTCCTTAAGTTTTCGTATTGTCCAGAGATGTTCTCTATCTATTATTTCAACCTCATCCCACAAGGGGCGGTGATCTTACTTTTCCCTCCATATGTGTTCAGCTACGCCTGATTTTTCTATTTGGCCTGGGGTTACAGCTTTATGATGTTCTTGCAGTCTTACCTTAATTTCTACTTTATATTTCTTACCATAACTGCACGGGATGGCGTACACACAGATATAAGTCATGTTATCCTCTGCGAGGAGGGGGTCTTACTCGATTATGGCAATCAGGCTTCCGCCTGGGTTGGATGTCTCATAATTCTTGAAGTGAAATATAAAGTTATTTTCTGCAGATCCGGATCATTATCCTCCTCCTCCTCCGACCACCATGTGGTCGTTCGGAACCCCACTAACAATCGCTTTCCACAATATTCCGTCTTGTATTGCTATCCCCAGATCTTCAATGTCCAACACTGAGTCATGAGCTATGGAGTGTGGGAAGATCAATTTTCGTGAGAAGACACTTCCAGAAGGATGTCATAGGTGTAAGTATGAGATATATTCCCTGTCCGCTTGGTGGTAGTGTCCGGAAAACTGTAATCGTTTTTGTTTGAGCTTAAGAGAGATTTGTCTCAGTTCTCCGTAAATTGTATTAAGTGTTGCATGGGATCTCCAACTAATGTTATGGGTTTTTCTAAGTAGATTTGTATACGTTCCATCCAGTCGTTTTTGAAGATAAACAGATAATGTCCAAGTTTCTGATCTATACAGTGGAACTTGTTCAATCAATATTCGAAAAAGATCCTAATATACCAGATGATCAATTAATTCTAGACGCAGTTTTCTACCATTCAACCAGGATTCTGTCTTTGTTCGTTGAGTCACAATTCATAGAAGTGAAATAAGTAATTACTTTCGGAACACCCTAATAGAATAATTCATAGAATTAAAATACGTAATTACTTTCCGAACACCCTAATAGAATAATTCATAGAAGTCAAATACGTAATTACTTTCCGAACACCCTAATATAATAATTCACACAAGTGAAATACGTAATTACTTTCCGATCACCCTAATACAATAATTCATAGAAGTGAAATACTTAATTACTTTCCGAACACCCTAATAAAATAATTCATAGAAGTGAAATACGTAATTACTTTCCGAACACCCTAATAAAATAATTCATAGAAGTGAAATACGTAATTACTTTACGAACACCCTAATACAATAATTCATAGAAGTGAAATACTTAATTACTTTCCGAACACCCTAATATAATAATTCATAGAAGTGAAATACGTAATTACTTTCCAAACACCCTAATAGAATAATTCATAGAAGTGAAATACGTAATTACTTTCCAAACACCCTAATAAAATAATTCATAGAAGTCAAATACGTAATTACTTTACGAACACCCTAATATAATAATTCATAGAAGTGAAATACTTAATTACTTTCCGAACACGCTTGTAAAATAGGTTATTTCTTACCAATCAACAAGGATTGTCTTGTTTGATTGACTCATAATTTATAGCGATAAAATACGTAATTTATTTCTGAATACAGTAATACCTTAATTATTTCATTTTAAATTTTTATTGTCTTAAAATGCCATTCGTAACTAAGTAGACAAGACGTAAATTATGAATGCAAGTTATGTTTCGATTCTAATTACGTCCCTGAAAATCTGCTTTCAGGACCTGTATAATTTGCTAAAATTTTCTCAGCTTGTCCAAAAATCTCTTCGACTAAAATCTGTGGTTCTTGCGCAGTTGGTCAGATTAGGGTAATTAGTCAAACTGAGAAACTGCAACGTCTTTGAGATTCTCCAACGTTTAAGACGGCATCAAGTAAATCCGCCTCCATCGATCAAAAGACAATGGATTCCAAACAACCTGATTACGGTGGCTCCCAAATTAAGTTTGAACTGTAGCACCTGTAACAAAAGCTACGCCCACTCTCCATTCACACCCACCGAAATAAGTGAAACGGCAGGTGATCAAAAACTGCTTTTTATCAGAAGCGACATTAATGTCTGTATTATAGGTGAAGGTATTGTGCTGGAGATTTCTCAGCTCATTAACTATGTAGATGAAGTCGATTGGATTGGTTGTGAAGATATTTGCCAATCGACTCGTCGAAGTGATTGCTTATGGAAAACTTTGAGAGGCGCAGGTGCGTGCTTTTGTCTCCGTGTACAAATAATTTAATGTAGGTATTATGGGTGGAATTGGCAAATGGACACATCTGAGATGAAGGAAAAGAGAGAGAGAGAGATTGTTGGAGGGCGAGAAAGAATACAGCAAATGAGAGAAAGCGAAAAACACTAAAGATTGAAATGAATAAAAGGGGGGGAAGTGAAAAAAGTGCAATGGTGTTTGAAAGAGAAATAAAAAAAAAGAAAGAAGGAAAAATTGTACGAGGAAATAAAAAAGAAAAACATTGCATGAAGAAAGAAAGAAAGAAAAATAGAAAGAAAAGAAAGTAAAGAAGGAAACATTGTACGAGGAAATAAAAAAGAAAGAAAAATTGCATGAAAGAAAGAAAGAAAGAAAAAGAAAGAAAAATTGTACGAGGAAATGAAAAATTGAAGGAATAAAGAAAGAAAGAAAGAAAGAAAGAAGAATTGAAAGAAAGAAAGGAAGGAAAAAGAAACAAACAATGACAGTAATAAACACTAAAGCAAGAATCAATAAAAGAGAGAAGTGCGAAAAAGGAAATAGTCGCCGAGAAAGAAAGAAAGAAAGAAAGAAAATGAGTATGAAAGAAAGAAAGAAAGAAAGAAAGTGTGAAAGGAAATTGAAAGGAGGTGAAGAAGAAAGAACGAAAGAAAGAAAGAAAGAAAGAAAAATTGAAAGAAAGAGAGAAAGAAAGAAAGAAAGAAACAAACAAACAATGAAAGTAATAAACACTAAAGCAAGAATCAATAAAAGAGAGAAGTGTGAAAAAGGAAATAATTGCCGAGAAAGAAAAGAAAGAAAGAAAGAAAGAAAGAAAAGGAGAATGAAAGAAAGAAACTGACATACACTAAAGAAAAAAGGAAGAAAGAAAGAAATGAATGGTGGTTGAGAAAGAAAGAAAAAAAGAAACAAACAAGAAGAGCATAATTAAAGAAAGATAGAAAATAAGAAAAAAGAAAAAATAGACGAGGAAAGAAAAAGGAAGAAAGAAAGACAAAGTGCCTGAAGAAGAAAGAAAGAAAGAAGAATGAAATAAATTACATTATGAAAGAAAAAGGAAGAAAGAAAACAGAAAGGAAATTGCCTGAAGAAAATAAGAAACACTAAAGACAGAATTAATAAAAGAGAGTGAGAAAAATGGAATTGCGGCTGTGAAAGAAAGAAAGAAAGAAAGAAAGAAAGAAAGAAAGAAAGAAAGAAAGAAAGAAAGAAAGAAAATTGAAAGGATGGCAAAGAAAGAAAGAAAGAAAGAAAGAAAGAAAGAAAGAAAGAAAGAAAGAAGGGAAATTGAAAGGATTGAAAGAAAGAAAAAAGAAAGAAAGGAAATTGAAAGGATTTGAAGAAGAAAGAAAGAAAGAAAGAAAGAATCATACAAACAGCATTAAAGAAAGAAAGATTAAAAGATGAAAGTGGGAAAAAGGAAATAGCCGTTGAGAAAGAAAGAAAGAAAGAAGCAATGAAAAAAAGAAAGAAAGAAAGAAAAAAGAAAAGAAAGAAAGAAACTGGCATACACTAAAGAAAAAGGAATAAAACGAGATGAAGTGAGAAAGTGGCTGAAAAAGAAAGAAACAGGAAAATTGCAGAAAGGAAGAAAAAATACACGAAGAAAGAAAGAAAGAAAGAAAGCAGCAAGCAAATGCTACATGAAAATGAATAAAGTAATGAACGAAAACTACATGGCGAAAAAAAGATGCGAATTTCGAAGATTTAAATAAAAAAAAAGCCGAAGAACATTCAGTTAACTGCAAAGGCTTTAAATAAATAAAGAAAATAAACGAGAAATATAAGAATGAAAAAAACAAAAGAAAAAGATACGAAAAAGAAAAAAAAATGAAGAATAAGCACCTGTTAAGTTGACATTTATTTCAGAAAATATTAGCAACGGAGAATAAAATACAAAAATTGACAGTCTTCTGACAGATTGACACCTACATGATTTTCGTTTCATTTATAATTTCGTTTTCAAAAAAAAAAAAAATGGAATTATGAAAATAAAAATAAAAAAATGATAAAAAGTCGATTGAATTTAATCGCGCTGAAGTCAAGTAATCCAAGGCGGCAATAAGCTCTCTCGATGTTGGTGTATCTGTCAAAACTGTTATTAAAATTTAAAGCCAAAGTCTCTCATGATAATACTTGTTATTTCTCTTTCTACGTTTATTTGCCGTGGAAGCTCCTTCATATTGCGTACCTTGCTACCTTTCATAGCTTTAAGCGGCATAGTCACCTTACTAGCTAAATACCTCTGATGCCATTCATTTACTCGTTTAGGTCAATATTTATCTTTGTTGCTTTTATCTTCAACATATCCTTCACGCGTTCATTTATTCGTGTTTTTTTTTACAGTTTATCAACCCTCTTGACATTGCATTTACACTTTTTGCAGTTGGCTGAAGAGCATGGAGCCAGAAGAGGGGTCCACAAGCGGAAAGTGCGAGAAAAGAAACTGTTAGCATAGAACTTACGGCTTAATCTAGCCAGTTAATTGATATTTATCTCTGTTCCTTTTACATTCAACATATCCTTCAATGATTGATTTATTCGTTTTTTACGGTTTATCAACCCTCTGCGGTTTTATTTTAATCAATATCACCCCAGGCAAGGCAGTATAACCAATAAAACGCGGAGGAATTTGAAACAGAAACAGTAATGAGTAGAAAAGATTAAAAGTAATCAGGGGGACTGTAGTTAGAAATTGATATTACATTTAC